AAAAAAATAGGTGTTATTCCAATTTAGCTGCAAAAGTAGAAATACACTATAAAGAGTGGGGGCGAGCACCTTTGAACACTGTCATTATTAGCAGCCATTCTGCAACCATCACTTGAAAAATAAAACCTGCAGTCTAATTTATGAACACTGGAGCATACACAAGGCTATTGCCCACAGCTATTAATCAGGCTTTTTTTTTTTTCAAACGAAGCAAAGAATATGACAGATAGGGCCAAGTGGCCTAATTTTTGTTCCATTTGTTTATTCCAGATCTCTTAAAGCTGAACTCAATGCTAGACAAATATTGTCTAAGTTCACAACCCATGTGTATGTATATGGATCTTGGCATACTGTGTGGATTTTTCCCAGATCTGTATAATAATCCAACATGAAACAATTTCTGGACTTTGCCTCTGTACAGGAGTTTCCTGTAATAAAGACCAGTCACTTCTGCTCTCTCTCCTTATGCAGGATGAGTGGTCTTGTATCTGCCCCTTTGTAGTTTTCTGTAGGCATCATGTGTGCAAAGCTGTGACAAAGCTTTTCTTCTCCAGGGCTTTAATCAGAGTATTCCTCATTATTTATTTGTTCTTATTTCACCCAAGCATCCTGAGTATCAGTATCTTCAAAAAGGATACAGGGCATAAAGGTGTCACTCTTTATGCCCTGATGAAGCGTGGTCTCGAAACGTTGGCTCTTGTGATTGTGTGACGTGATTCCTCTTCCTATATACACCATAGAACACACTAAACAATCTCAGGGGTAGCCACGACACTCTATTTGTAAGGTAAATGTCCAGGCTCTCAGCCACAAAAATATTCATACAAATCCAAAGAAGATATAGAGGCACTCAAGGGTCTTGCAGCGGAGACCAATCAAAGCATCAGTATTTGATTGTCGATGTTTTGATGGAGCTCAGTCCATCATTTCCAAGACAATAGAACACACTACACATGATAATTTATGCTACATAAATTGTTTGCTTGTAACTATGCTTTTAGCAGCTTGTTGTTTAATCATCACAGCAAAAACATTAAAATGAATAAATGGACTGTGAGTCAGTGATACATTTCCCTTTCAGAGAAGGTGCGAGACAAAGCTAATTCACATTTCACATGCTTTAACCAACAGGATACGCTCTGTTTTTGCTTTAGTCTCACTTACCTTCTGTGCTTAAAATGACACTGAGCTCAGGAATTAAATCTTGAAAATGCATTTAAGTACCTTGACTATTCACATCAATGTACTGTATCTTAGTTGTGTATCACTCGGCTGTAGATCCTCAAATCATCCCTGAATTGGTGCTGACATTGTCCTTCCTTCTGGGGGTGGGTAATTTTGTTCCCCATGGTCCCTGTGAGTGTTGTAAAGTAGCAACCACTCCAAGCTCACTCACGTGATCTCACATTTAGTTTACTAATTTGCATTGAGATTGTAGTCCATCACAGGAGCGAGCTTGGAGCGGTGGCTACTTTGCAGCACACACGGGGACCATGGGGAACAAAAGTAGCCACCCTCCAGAAGGAAGGACAGTGTTAGCACCAATTCAGAGATGATTTGAGGATCTACAGCAGAGTGATACACAAATAAGGTACATTTTTGTTAACAGTTAGGGTACTTGAGTTTAGTGTTGCTTTAATAACTACTGAGAAATCAGTAACAGAGAGAATGAGTTGTGGCCTAACTCATTGTTTTGCATTGTGACCAGTAGCACTAAAAGAACAACCACTGTGTAGCACTCCTAAGCAGGAAGCAGAACCTGAGTATATAATGATCAAATATTTACCATAATAGGTTGTGCATACATAACTACATATAAGCTAGTCATAGGTGCAGTGGCGTAACAATCACCCTAGCGACTCAGGCGGCCACTATGGGGCCCGGCCAGATGCCGTGCGGGCCGCTCGGGTCGCTATAGGATCCTCTGCTGGTGGCTTTCACTGGTGGCTGAAGACGAACACGCCGCTGTTCAGATCACTGACAGTAGTCTGTGCAGCAGCGCGTTCCTCTCCACAGAGTCAATGAGAGCCAGCCAGCGGCGGTGGAGCAGGCTGGACCCGGCAGTGGAGGAGGAGGTGGGGGCCCGTGGTTGGCAGCAGGGGAAGAGGCGGGGCCCGGTGACAAAGAAGGAGGCGGACAAGTAAGGAGTGCGACCAGCCCACCTGAGGGTGAACCTGCAGAGCCCACCATAGAGATTCTATGGTGGGCTCTGCAGGTTCACCCTCAGGATGGATCTCGAGGGGTATAACTAGAAATCACAGGGCCCCATACAAAATGTTGCTATGAGGCCCTGTGATTTCTAGTTACGCCCCTGCATAGGTGGCTCGAATTTTGGGTGGTTCTTGCTAAATCGGCCGAAATTCGAGCTGTGGGTGGCCCTGTCAGCACCACTCAGCTTCTAAAAATAGTCAACTGAAAAATCAAAGGAGTCGGGCAAAAAATTGCCAGACAAACAGCGGTCTGAATACAATAGCTGAGATTAGTCCATTCACGCTGCTTAGCGGTAAAGTGTAACTTGATTGATTTTTCTTGACACTTTTCTAAAACAGGAACACATATTGATAAGATCATTTACTCTCCAATTGATCTCTTTTAGATGTACAGTATATCTATAAAATCTTTGAAAAGGCAGTGCATTATCTTTAAATATGGGTGATCCCTGCTTACCTAATGAAGGCATAGCATGAATAAGTTTAGTATAAACAAAACAACTATTATCTCTGCTACACTAGCTAGCCTCGGCTGAGCCGCGCTGACCAGCCGACACCCAGCTTCTGACAGCTGGGCGGAGCCAGCCGTGATCTTAAGGCTGGCTCCGGCCACTTGCAGAGAGATCAGCGTCCCTGCTTACCAGCTAACCAGGGACACTGATCTCCAGACAGCCCAACTCTCCCGTGCGCTCCGGGAGCCTCCCGGCCGCCCAGGAGAGGTACACTGCTTTTTCTTTTTTTTTCTTTATTCTGACACAACAATTTTTGCCCATAGGAATGCATTGCTACATTCCTATTGGATATTTGAATTTGCAATAG